AAACACTATACTGAAGAAACCAAAGTCTGTCTTAAGGATATTGTGGTCATTTTTTAATTCTCTAACTAAGCTTTATTAATATATCAATAATTTGCAAGACATTTTATGCAAAAAGGTAAATATACTACAGCATTACAGAGAGAAACGCCCAAACATCCACCATGAACAAGCATTTGGGAATGTTGGAAAAACAAGTTTTCTATAAACATCCAAGTGACTTTAAAACAAACAGCAATTACATGGTTGAGAAATCTCAAAAAGATGGCTTGTGTAATTTGAAACGCGAGTACAGTAATGCATGGGTAAACAACTCTGTCCTGAACAGGATATGTAGACTGGTTTGGAAGTGAAAGTCTATTACGCTTACAGTTCAGACAGTTTAATAACTGTCTGTAACACAGTGTAAAAACGGGAATAAAAGCATAAATATTGATACTATTTTACAATTTTAATATACTCATTTCACAATGGGAATAAACATTGGTAAAAAGCAATTAAATATAATAAATACTCATAAAAAGCATGTAAACAGAAGTTTAATTAATATGTGGATAAATGTTGTGGAGGCAGGACTTTTTGTCAGATACACTGAGCAACCAATAGTTGACTGGTCTGACCCTCCCCCTGTGTGGCTCCTCACACACCTGTGTGTGTGCGCCTTCGTGTACCCGTCAGCTAAGAAGGAGATACAGGCAGAGAGAGATCAGTCACTCGTGTTGTGAAGAAGCTAACTGGATGTAAAAGCCTTTACGGCGCAAAACACTCGGTGAGAGTGAATTCCGAAGGCCGTGAGCCCACGCGAGCACTGTGAAGCCCTGCATAGCATTTGCTACTTCACAAGGTAAGCCCCAGTCAGTGCACGTGCGCTAGCATAGCATACTACTTGCCGTTAGCTCCGATGCTAATTTCTGCTAGCCATTTTGCAATGAAAGTGCCCTTTCCGAGGCCAAAGAATGTGCACGTTAGCATATGCTACTTCCGGTGCGGAAACTCCTGTGGGGAGCTTTGTTTCCGGTGTCCTATTCAAGCCCTGTTTACGTCCAAAACAAGTTAAGCAAATGAATGAATCAAGCGGCGATTTACATTTCTATAGATGTCTCGGGCATTTACCCAATATATCTGTAAATGATGTTCATCGACTTGTGGATATTTTTTCCCCGCGCCTCAGGGCAAAAGAGAAAAGGGATTCAAATGTTATATTTCTCAGCTGTCCCTCGTTTATCGCGGGTGTTATGTTCTAAAAATAACGAGCGATAGGTGAAATCAAGTAGCCAATTTTGTTTTTTGACGGTGCAAAACGTTTGGTGGACATCGTGGACATACAGCACTGCTCTTCAGAGTCACACTGCCAGCGATCGATGCAGTGATTCTGTGCTGTACAGGAGAGACGGCACGGAGGAGATCGTCTGCAGCGATCAGGACGCAGGACACAATGTGACGTAAAAAAAATAAGCATGCAAACTTGCACTAAAAAATCTGCGAAACAGCGAGGAGAAAGGTGAACCGTGTTATAGTGAGGGACCGCTGTAATTTTGAAGGTAAGTCACAACATACCCTTCGTACACACTAATGTATAGAAACTGTTACCAGCAATCATTCATTTTTTGTGTGGCTTTTTTCACGGTTTGTTAAAATGCTGTGTAGGTGTGTACTTGACTAGCTGATCTGACATAACGGGGAAACATCTGGTTTGACTATTCTTCACCTGTAGTTTGAATGCTGAACATT